CCCATCCCTTCCTGTGTCCCCTCCATTCCACATCCCTGTGTGTTCCCCCCACCCCTTCCCATCCCATCCCATCCCATCCCATCCCATCCCATCCCATCCCATCCCTCCCTGTGTGTCCTCTCCATCCCAAACACCACCATGTGTGTCCCTTCTGTCCCATCCACCTCTTCCTGTGTCCCCTCCATCCCAACCCTCCCTCTCTCCCGCAGAGGACTCAGGGCCACCAGGACCCCCCACCCCACAGAGGTCTCCGTCTCCTGAGGTCCCCACTGAGGAGGAGGGGTCGGGGTTGGGACCACCCCCGTCCTCCCCCAGCCTCTGGCGGGAGACCAGCCCGGACAGACCCTACGAGAGGGGCAGAAATCCTGGAATCAACCCTGGGGATGGGGAAACCTGGAGCTCCCACTGCTACCTGGGGTGCCCCCCAGCCACCCCTCACAGCCCCGACCCTGCAGCCCCCTCGGGGGCCAGGCCAGGGGACCCCCCGTACCGGTTCGTGCCCGTGAGGACCCTGGTGCTGGTCCGGCAGGGGGGATCCAGCGCTCCCGGCACCCCCGAGACACCGGCACGGAGGGGACAGGGCCAGGCCATGAGGTACAGCCTGGGCATGGCAGGGGGCACAGGGCAAGTGGGGAGGGGAGACATGGGGGGAGAGGATGGAGGGGATCCCATGGGGAGGATGGAGAGGATCCCATGGGAGGATGGAGCTCAATCCATAGGATGGAGGATGGAAATAACCCTGTGAAGATGATGGAGCCCAGCCCATGAGGAGGAGGTTGGAGATGATCCCATAGAGAGGATGGAGATGATCCCTTGGGAGGAGGCTGGAGACAGCCCCATGGGAGGCTGGAGATGATCCCACAGGGAGGCTGGAGATGATCCCACAGGGAGGCTGGAGATGATCCCGTGGGGAGGACAGAGATGATCCCGTGGGGAGGATGGAGACGATCCCATGGGAGGCTGGAGCTCCAGTGCCACGGGATTAGCTCCACTCTTCTCCCATGTGGTGCTGTGACCTTTCCCCAGGATGGATCCGTGTCCTTCGCCCAGGATGGATCCCTCTCCTTTCACCAGGGTTGAGCCCTGTCCCCTGCACAGGTGAATCCCTGTCCTTTTCCCAAGTTGGATCCCTTTTCCCCTTTCCAGGGTGGTCCCTCTATTTCCCTGGGCTAATCCCTCTCTTTTTCCCTGCTTGGATCCCAGTCCCCTCCCAAGGGTGATCCTTCCCTTTCCCCATGTGGACCCCTCTCTTTCCCCAGGTTGATCCCTCTTTTTTCCGAGTTGGATCCCAGTCCCCTCCCCAGGCTGATCCCTCTCTTTCCCCCTGTGGATCCCTCCCTTTCCCCGTGTGGATCCCTCCCTTTCCCCATGTGGATCCCTCCCTTTCCGCGGTCTGATCCCTCTCTCTCCCCAGGTTGGACCCCCTCTGGCCGCCCCTGGAGCCGCGGGGCCGCCCCCCCGGGCCCCGCCGCCGCCCCCCGTCCCACGCGGGGCCGGTGCCGCCGCCCCCCACGGGCCGCTCGCCGCGCTCGGGGTCTGACGAGAGCATCTCCAGCGTGTCCAGCGCGTCCCGCGCCCCCTCCCCGGGCAGCTCCGGCCCCGACGCGCCCCGAGCCCGACCCCTTCCCCTCCTCCTGCCCCTTCCCCTGCCTCTTCCCCTGCCCGAGCCGCCCCCGCGGGGCCCCCCCCGCGGCCCCCCGACCCTGGTGCTGTACGAGCAGGATCTGGCCCCGCTGCGCTACCAGCGCCTCGTGCCCTCGCACAGCCGCATCGTGCGGACCCCCTCGCTCAAGGAGCACCCCGTGGGCAGGGGGCTCTCCCGCGCCGCCGTCACCGAGGAGCTCAAGTCGTGGCACCAGCGCGCGCGGCTGCGTGGGGCGCGGCCCCGCTCCCTCGACAGGCAGGGCGCCCTCGGGAGACCCCCCCGCGTGGGAACCGCCCCCGACCTGCCCCTCGCCAGGGCCGTGCTGTCCCGGGGACAGGTAGGACACGGGCACGGGGGGACGGGAGGGCGACACGACCCCCGGGGTTGCTGCCCTGAGGGGGGGGTGTCACCCCCAGGTGGGGTCCCCAGAGCGGGTGTGGGGTCCTGAGGGGGTCCGTGGGGAGGAATTGGGGTCCCACGAGGGTCCTTGGGGCGGGACTGGCGTCCTACAAAGGGTCCCTGGAGTGGGACCAGGACCTTAAGGGGGTCCCTGGGGCAGGACTGGGGTCCGATGAGGGTCCCTGAGGTGGGACCAGAACCTTAAGGGGGTCCTTGGGGTAGGACTGGGGTCCTACAAAGGTCCTTGGGGCAGGATTGGGGGCCCACGAGGGTCCCTGGGATGGGACCAGGACACTAAGGGGGTCCCTGGGGTGGGATGGGGGTCCCAGTGAGTCCCTCTGCTCATACCCAGGGTCCCACCAGCCGGACCCACGGGGGTCCCGGGGGCAGCCCTGGGGTACCCTTGGGCGGGTTGTGGGGTCCCTGCTGACATTTTGGGGTCCCCAGGCCCCCCCGGTGCCGATGCTGCGGCGCTCGGTGCCCGCCGTGCCCACACAGCTCTTCGTGCCTGAGAACGGCGAGATTGTCACACAGGTGTGAGAGCAGCCCCGGCCCTGGCGGGGGGCACGGCCTGGCTGGCCCAGGGACATCCCCACCCCGGCCTGGGGACACGGGGGGGACGCACAGCGGGGTGGCACGGGCTGGCCCCCACCCCCTGTGGTCTCAGTGGCACCGGCACCGTGGTGGTGATGGTGACACTGGTGGCACTGTGACCCCAGTGCTGAGGTGACCCCATGACCCCCATGTCACCACATCCTCAGTTTGGGGTTCTGGTCTCTAATAAAGGTGGTTTTTGGGAAGTGTCACCCTCGAGACGTGTCCCCTCCGTGTCTCCAGCCCTGTCCCCTCCCGGGGTGCCCATCCCTGGGGACAGTTGGTGCTGCCAGGTTGGGGCTCTGGGTTTTTGGTCTCTGGCCATGCTTGGGGCATTCGTGGGGTATCCCCAGTGCCAGGGGGATGTCCCCAGTGCCAGAGGGGTGTCCCCAGTGCCAAGGGGTGTCCCCAGTGCCAGGGGGGTGTCCCCAGTGCCAAGGGGTGTCCCCAGTGTCCAGTGGGGTGTCCCAGTGCCAGGGGGGTGCCCCAGGTCCAGCTGTGCCCACCCAGCGAGCCTGGCTGGGATGGAGGGCTGGGAAAGGGGGTGCAGGGAGGGGAAGGGA